GGCGCCCCACCCCCACCGCGCGGCCCCGCCCTCGGGCCCCGCCCCACCCGGCCACCACCGCTGCCTGTTTAGCGTCGTCGCGCGTAGGGGTTTTTTTTCCTACCCAACCTTTGCCAGGTGCGCACCCCAAAAAGCGAACTCAGATCCACCAGAATCTTCTCCTTCTCTCTTGTCCTGGGGCTTGAACTCGGGGTCTGGGCAAACTGCCCCCTGTTCAAGGCTAGCCTTCTGCTACTTGAGCCACAGGGCCACTTCTGGCTTTTTTTTCTGTTTATGGGATAATCGAACCCAGGGCCACAGGCATGCTAGGCAAGCAACTCTACCACTAACCCGCATTCCCAGCCCCTCCCTCCCTTCCTTTATTCCATCTTTTGTCTGTCTGTCTTCCTTTTTTTTCCAGGGGTGGGGAAGAGGGACAAAATTAGAAGAGAAATACTGAGTTTCTATGAGCAGTTTTCAACCTGACAATTAGAGAATCACTTGCCTCAACTCTCTTGAATCCTTTGTTTGAGACTAGTTTCATTAAAATTGATCTTGAGGGCTGGGAAGGTGGCTCAGTGGTAGAGTGCTTGCCTTGCATGCATGAGGCCCTGGGTTCAATCCTCAGCACCACATAAGCAGAAAAAGCTAGACGTGGGCACTGTGGCTCAAGTGGTAGAGCGCTAGCCTTGAGCTGAAGAGCTGAGGGACAGCACCCAGGCCCAGAGTTCAGGCCCCGCAACTGGCAAAAAAAAAAAAAATTGATTTCGAAATGAGAGTGGGTAATAATGCTTGACAAGAAATGTACTCATTGCCTTACTGTGACCCCTCTGTACAACACCTTCACAATAATTTTTTAAGATAACGGGCAGCTCCCCCCAATCAACTAAAAGGAGACCCTTGGTGATGTCCAGGGATCATTAGTTTTTAGAGCTCTCTGGGTGGTCCCACACAACCACTCCTAAATAATTCCTTTCTACAATTCTGTGTGGAGTACAAAAAGTCCTGTGGTAAGGGGAAGCCACAGGCTGAGCTGCGAGGGTTTAATGGGATAGACATTCGTTTGCCTTCATGGAAATGTGGGTGGGAAAGAGAGCTACCCAGCTACCCAGCATGGGACTTGAGGAATATTTACACTAGTCACTGTCCCTGAGCAATTTTGCTCACAGCAAGTACTCTACGACTTTGTGCCACAGTGCCACTTCCAGTTTTCTGGTAGTTATTTGGAAATAAGAGTCTACAGACTTTCCTGCCTGGGGTTGGCTTTGAACCACAATCCTCAGATCTCAGCCTCCTGAGTAGCTAAGATTACAGGTGTGAGCCACCGGTGCCCAGACAACAAAGAATTTCTTAAGCCACTCTCCTTAGCACCTGAAAGGTGGTGGGTCCCCCCCACCCCCAGCCTTCATGAACCCATATGTGTCCCTGGGCAGAACTCTGACATCACCTACAGCAAGCAGAGGCCCAGCAAGCAAGTGAGCTGGTGCTTTATTGTCCTGTCCTCCTTCTCCACAGTGCCTTGCTAAAACTAGCATCTTTTGTTGTTGTTGTTAGTTGTGGGGCTTGAACTCTGGGCCTGGGCGCTGTCCCTAAGCTCTTCAGCTCAAGGGAAGTGCTTGAGTCATAACACCACTTCTGGTTTTCTGGTAGTTAACTGGAGATAAGACTCCCACAGACTTTTCTCACCCAGGCTAAGATCCTCAGATCTTAGCCTCCTGAGTAGCTAGGATTAAAGGCATGAGTCATGGAAGAGCAGCCTAAAACTAGCATTTTGAGCTGGGATGGGGTCTGTAACCATGAATGGGCACAGATGAAGGAAAACCTTATTTCTGTGAGTCATAAGGGCATCTGACCCTGAAGTAGGAAGTAGAGTCTTAGTGGGGTTTATTTCCCTGGAGCCCCTAAAGAGGGTCTGTAATGAAGAGGGAGGATAAGAGGGTAGAAATTAGAAGAAACCCATAGCTGTGCTGTTTGGATAATAATGTTATATTGTTTTTCATAAGGGACTATCTCTCTCTGGGTAATTCTCAAATGGATAGAGTTCTGCAGATCAGCATAAAACTCAGCCTACATTTATGCTCAGAGATAGAGCCCCTCACAAATGCCCTGTGCTTGTGTACTTCCATAGACCTTCCACAGTGTTATGTCCCCTAATGCTGAGCTAGTAAGCTGCAACATGACAGGTCAGTACCATCCATCCATCATCCATCATCGAAGAGATGACGACCACCCATCATTTCATTAGTTCTCATCATTCTGGCCAGGTTCAGCTGACACTGTGGCAGGGCTGGCCTTACTTTCTTTGCATGTAGTATCAAAGTCTCTCTCTTTTCCTTGCATGCTCTTTCTATGTGTTCTCTCCAGAGTAGATTCCAGGGTATGGCCCAAAGTGCCAGGTTTGTTTGTTTAAGCATCACTGTCCAAAGTGAGGTACATAGCAGAGCCTTGACTCATCCTGGAAAGGAACTAGACAGGGCAGGGCATGGGAGTTGAGTAGCACGGTTCATTGGAAGCTGCCAAATAAACCATCTGCCTCGGTTGTTCACTTACTCTTTTTTTTTTCTGGTTGTGGGGCTTGAACTCAGACAGCCTAGGTGCTGTCCCTGAGCTCTTTTGTTCAAGTCTAGTTCTCTAGCACTTTGAGCCACAGCGCCACTTTTGGTTTTTGAGTGGTTAATTGGAGATAAGAGTCTCACAGGGACTTTTCTGCCTGGGCTGGCTTTGAACTGTGATCCTTAGATCTCAGCCTCCCGAGTAGCTAGGATTACAGGTGTGAACAACCAATGCCCAGCTCATTCAATTATTCTAACTTCATGCGAAGGCAAATAGCATTAGGGAAGTTGTTGCACATCACTAAGACCCAGATCTTCTGGTCATAGTTCACCAGATCACTGGTGGAATGTAGGTCCTCCCAGCCATTCATCCCACCACACTTCAATCCAGCTGTGTGTACAGCTCTGAGTGGCACACAAAGATGAGTCAGAGAGGGCAAATGTCAGATGGGAGTTCCCAGTGTAGGTGAGGATTTGCCATGTGTAACTGTAAGGCAACATTGCAAGGGATGCTCTAACAAGAATGTAGAAAGAGTATGGAAGGGACCTGGGAAATAGATTTTCTTTGGAGGCGAATCTTTACATGTATTTACCAATTTCCTCTCTCCATGTTTTCACCCATTTTTGTTGTGTTCCCTTCTAGAATGTCCTTTCTTCCTCTCCCCATCCCTGACTTCTACATGTTCTGCAATTCTGTCTCCTGGATGCTGTGGTTTAAAGAATCAGGCTGATTGACCTTCTTTCAGCCCTCCAGTTGGTTTTGCAAAGAAGTGAAGAGTAGCAGAGGCTCCATAGATGGAACTATCCTAAAAACAGGAATGACCATAGAAAGAAAGATTTTCTCCAGATCAACTTCTGAAAAGATGCCAATGCCAAAGGAGAAAGAAACCCTTCTCTGCTCTGAATTCTGTAAATCAGTCAGGCATGAAGGTTCTTATGCAGCCCAGTGGGGGGCAAAGACCAAGTGGCCACGTTGGCACAGGCCCCTCAGGTCCACAGAAAGGCTTTTGCAGTGTGAGCCTTGCTGTGCTTCAGATTCTCAGTGGGTGCGTAACCTCCATGCACAATGCCTACCCCTGTGTCCTCTGGGTGGGAGGCGGGGGTTGGGAGCCTGGGGTGGCTGAAGGTGAGCACTGGGATTACGAAGGGCTTTGTAATACCAGTGAACCAAAGCTCTAGGTGAACCTGTCTGTCCTGTTGCCAGAAGACGTCTTTTATTCAGGGAATTAATTTAAAAGTGAAAGGCATCTATACCACTAACCCAGACTTGTCCCTTTCCTCCTTCCCAAAGCCTCTAACTCAGCTAAGACACCAACAGGAAACTTTTATTTCCTTTTGAAGAAAATAGAAAGCCCTGAAGACTCTCAAGCAATTCTCCTGGTTCAGGAATATGCAGAGCAAAACAAAATGCAATTATAATGTTTGTAGAGAACACTGAGTTCTCCCCCCTCCTCCCCCAATGGTTGACTCATGCAAAGATCATGGTTAGGCTTTCTGACCTCTGCCAGAAGAAACCGAGTATTGTCCTGGAAAATTGGAGTGAGGAAGACCAAGATATTTAGGCATAAGAGATTTTTCAACCAGTCATGGGTGTGCATTTAAAATGACAGGCTAGCAGGATCCATCCACGTTGTGTGACAGGCAGGAAGATGAAGGAAAACTGCACAGAGAAATAAAGAAAAGAATATAATGTAGCAAAGGAAGAAGGAAACAATCAAGGCCAGTGTGTTGCAGCAGAGTGAGCACAAGCTTTGGGGTAGGACTTACTTGAGTCTCTGCTACTGTGACTACAAATAGAAATAACACCATGGGTGGGGGGGGGGAATGGAAGATGACATGTTTATTAGGTGCTTAAATGTGTTCTGGAACAGAGTTAAACCTTTTTAATATGCTCTTTTTATTTATTACTGGCAACGATAGTATAGAGTATGTAGCATCATTACCCATAATTTACAGATGATGACAATGAGGTTCAGAAAACCAGTGTCTTTCCCTGTCCCTA